CTGCCAGAATTTACATTTATTTGGGAGTGACAGAGCGTATGATTAATCCAGTGATGTAGTAATTCAGGTCGCCTGGGCTCCTTTGAATTTAACCCACATTTTGTTGACCTGCTGTGATTTCTCTGAAGCCATACCCTTCCTCCAGGATAGAATTACCACTTTCTTCTCTGAATTCTCATAGCTCAAGGTTCCTGTCTGTTGAGTAGAGGCTGGGACAACCCCAAGACTTCCATCGGAGCAGGAGGAGGAGGTGGGTATAGGTTTCCCTCACTGCTTTCTTTTTATTAGGAACTTCTAGGGGGACAGAGAGCACCCACCTGCGTTTGTGACAATAGAGAAAGAGACCTTGCGGTAGAAAGACAAGTCTGATGTGACTTGATGCTCGGAGAAAATGATTAGGGTGGTTGGCCTTTGGGAAGTTGGTACCATACAACCTCTCCCATTTAAGGGCAGGAAGGGCCACTTGACCCCTTGGTTTTTCACTGGGGACCTGGAGAGAGCCCCCGGGGAGGTCAGCTCCCGGACAATGATATTTGTCCTCTACACTTCTCTTATAATGCTGAGTGGGTTTTATGGGAATTCCTGTGGCTCCTTTTTTCCCAGGTCACTGTGAGCATCCCCATAATTGAAGGCTGTGCTTTATTCATCTGTTTCTCTAGCACCCAACGTGGCTAATGGCACCTAGCAGGTGTCACTATTGGTGAATATAATAAGGAAACAAGAATCTAGACACTTTTATAGGAGTATATGGTGGAGCCTAGATTTCTGAAGACGAATTAGAAAGCCTACGAGCAAGGAATATTCTGTGCTTGTTTTCCTCACCTTTGGTACTTTTAACTACCCCCATAGATGGTACGAATTATGGTTATTCTAGTCAAAATTATGCCCAAAATTTAGTAGCGTTTTATTCCATTATTAATATGAAAGCATGTTCTACCTATGACTTGGTCACAGTAGGTCATTTGTTAATACTGAGCTAACTGGCACATTTAAGAAACAGGCCATAGAGTGGGGATGCAATCTGATTTAAAGCTCATTCAAGTTGAGCGTTTTAAGGCAGAGTGTAAAAGAAAGGACGAGTGAAAAACATTTGATTTTACTAATTTAAACCAAACCTCACTTACTTTTTCACTAGATTCAACTGGAAATTATTCTGGGTTTGACTAAAATAGCAATGGAGAGTTTGAGGGAGACAGGAGAATATGGAAACCCATGATAGTCCTGTTTTTTCGTTCTCCATACAGAAGTAAAAGATAAAATAACATCATCTGTGTTGAGGAGTTAAGGTAAGAATGATTGAAGTAAAGAATGTGTCAAGAGAGTGACTGGCCAACTTCAGGTCTCCAGTCCTCTTTTTTCCTCTGTTGAGAAGTGAACACTAGAACATTCTGAAGCATTCTAGAACATTCTGGAATATTCTGGAACGTTCTAGAACATTCTAGAACATTCCACAAATCACATAGGCCCACTGCCACCAACTTAACAGCCCCATCTTCCATCCAAGGCAGCAGAATTTCTTTCCCACCCCTGATTTCATCCCAGGCCTCTGTGTGCCCAGCTGTCATGGATCCCCATCCTCCTGCCTGAATCCTAGACTTCAGTTTTGTCTTCTGTCTTTGAAAGGTGTATAGAACCCTCCATAGAAGGTTCTATATTTTGCCACTGACTTCTGTGTAGAAAGGTTTTGTTAAGGTCAGTCACAGAGTAAGACACACAGATTTGCCACGAGGATGACACATTTTTAGCTTTTGAGATACTGTTCTCAACAAAAAGAACGTAACCGTTTCTGTGGCTGATGATGTTTATAGATCTGGTTTCGTGCTGGTAATGAGGAGCTTCTGTGTCTGTGTCTAATGGCAATTACTTCTATTTGTGATACTTCAATTTTTAAAAAATCTTTACCCAAGGATATTTTTCTATTTATCTTCAGATGGAGTGGGAGGGAAGGAGGGAGGGAGAGAGAGAGAGAGACAAAGAGAGACAGAGAGAGAGAGAAACATTGATGTGAGAGAGACACATCGACTGGTTGCCTCCTGTACAACCCTGACCAGGGCCAGGGATGAACTGCAACCGAGGTACGTGCCCTTGACCAGAATTGAATCCCTAACTTTTTGGTCTGTGGGATGACACTCTAACTGCTGAGCCAAACTGGCAAGGACTATTTGTGATACTTTAAATCACTATTTATTTCTTCCTTCACATATTTCAAGAATCTCTTATTTTCAAAGATAAATCATCAAGGATTCCTACTAATATAACATAGCCTGTCTTTTCACACAAAAAGAAAGAGATTTTAACTTTTATTTTATTCCATGTGACCTAAATGGGTTAACGTGTACTTTTTATTCAACATCATGGGGTGGAGTATTGCCCTCATTTCTGTCTTCTGAGATTCCTACTTTTCTACGATACACATGTTAGAAATAAAGTAAAATAAGTTTGAGAAAAGTCAACTTGTTTCTATTTTTTTTAACAAATGAGTTTTACTTTCATTTCTTACTACTTTTTTATTTAAAAATTTTTAATTAAAAATATTTTTAAATTGAATTTATTGGGGTGACACTGGTTAACAACTTATACAGGTTTCAGGTGCACAATTGCACCGCACACCATCTGTACACTGCATTGTGTGTTCAGCACCCCAAGGCAAGTCGTCTTCCCTCACCATTTCTCCCCCATACCCTCCTGTACCTCCCTATTCCCTCCAGCAACAAATGAGTTTTAAATCATCCATATTACCAATCACCACCGCTTTGGTGTGATAGCAGAACCCAGCCCATGGATGAGAATCTCAGATGGAGCAGTTGGATCAGATTTCTTGAAACAGTGGATGTCGCCACAGCTCATCACGTTTCTTATGAAACCACCGCACCTTCAGAAACAATGCCAACGAAAAGAAAACTGTCTTTTCAAGTATTTTGTGTGTGTAATATCTTGAATCTTTGCAGCTGTGATAATATTTTCCTCTTTGAACATGAAGAGGTGTCTTAAATGTTTGTTTGGACCATCTGTCCAAAAATTGGATGGCTCTTTCACATGGCGTCTTATCAAGACCAAGACCAGAACGTGCATTGTACGACCCGTGTGCGTTCTCACGCTGCACAGTCTGAAGGGCCTGGCCTGTTCAATGTGACGGAAGCCCTGGAAATAAGAGCAGAGTGTCCTGTGTTTATATGGACTCAGTTTCACCTCCAGTAGACACTGAAAATAACTACACAGTTGCATACGGTGTGAGAAAGCCTTTATGGAAGAGTTATTTGTCCTGGGTCTTGAATAATTGGACTTTGGAATCTAGACGGAGGTAGAAAAGGCATTTCAGATAGAGCTTAACCAAAGGCCTAGAAAGAATGAAATCCAGAGCGTGTTCAAGAGCATGTCATTAGTCCAGTGTGACGTCATGGTAGGAAGTACCCAGAGGGGAGTCGTGGGCGTTATATCCTGAAGGTCGCATTGGGAGTCTTTTGCGTGCCAGAGGAGATGTGTGTATGTCATGGAAAATGACTTGTCCGCATCTGTGTTTGAGAAGGTGACCCCCATGCCTGTTCAGAGGACAGACTGAGAGAGGAGGCTGGGAAGAGGGAAAACAAGTGACATGAGTTGTTACCAAGCAGTGGTAACCTCTATTAGAGTAGGAGTAATGGCAAGTGCTATGCCAACTGTACACACTGATTGTAGAAGGAGGATTTGGGGATGGAATGCGTGGCGGAGGAAATACCTGATGATGATGATGATGATGACGAGATAGGACGAGATGAGAGCTCTTTGGGACTCTGTCCCATGGAAACTCAAGAATAACACTTTTTAAATCTGATCTAAGCATGGCCCCATCTCTTCACTGTGTGCCCAACGGCTGGACCAGCCTGCACTGCAATCATCCGTAGTATTTCCACATGGTGTGTGGATGGCTGATTACCCAGTCATGGCTCTACAGCTGTGCCGGATTCTGCCTCATCTTGATGATTTTTTCTGCTCTTTGTAGGCGGTCCCTGCAGAGTGTAGGACTGTTGCAGACTTGAGTGATTTAGGAAATGCCTTCTGGTCAGTGGGGGGCAGTATCACATCGCAGAAGGAGCAGAGTTGTGATGTCACAGGTTTGAGCCCTTGCATTGCCTTAACATCTTCAGAATCACCTGGGGTTTCCTTTTAAAATACAGATCCTTATACTCGATCCCTTGGAGATTCTGATTCAGTCAGTCTGAACTAGGGCCCTGGAAGGGGTGTTTTGTTTTGTTAACATTCTAGGTAATTTGGAAGGTTAGCTACATTTGGGAAATAGTGATTTAATCTTCCTGAGTCTCAGCTTTCACAGGATGGCTATGAACATTACGTGAGAAAATACATCTGGATATTATAAACTTCCAACCAACATAAAATATCAGTGGTGAATTAGGATATTTCTTGAAATAACATTTTTGTTCCTTTTTAAAAAGACTTTATATCTCATCAGTTTGAAGGTTGGCTACAGGAGAGCATGTTATATTTATTTTCTTTTATGTGTTCTGATGGAAAAGACAAAACTAATAAATTCTGTCTAATACACACAATATGGAAAATATAGGATTAATTGGATGATAGTTTTGTTTTGTTTTTAAGTTTATTTTTAATAATGACTGCTTAATTGCAACTTTAAAATAGCTATGTACATATAAAGGTATGTCAACAATTTGTTTCTTAATAGTTTAATGTGCCCATAAATTCTTGCTTTTCCTGAACACATACTAAGTACATTTTTTTTAGGTTAAACAAAGGTGAACAGACCCAGTGAATTCTATCAAATTCCTAATTGTGCTTGTATAGATTTTCAGGAACTGTTTGGGTTGTCTAAAATGAGACAACTCAAAATTAATTGGATGATAGTTTAAGATGTTGAAGAAGTAATAGAAAGTAGAAAACCCTTGCTTGAATTTGTGTTAAATCTGAGGAATAAATGCCCATTAAAAAAAAAAATCAAGGAAAATTAAACAGAAACTGTTTCTATAAATTTTAATATAAAACCCACATTTATTATTGACACTTGATAACTTAATTTGCAAATATATCCCAACTTCTCTGTTTTAAGAGCAATAGCTTAAGTTAAATACATTGTTCTTTTCTTTGTCTCTTTCAAGCCAAAAGCGATCAAACAACAAAACACCAAAAACACCTGGTGTCAATAACAGCAACGGAGCTTTCGAAACACATTCTCTTTTCAAAGAGTCATCTGAGTGAAAGAGATTTCAGCAGCTCAAAACAATCTCTATATAATAATATGCAGCATGGACGTCAGTTGACCTGGAAGCTTGTAGCTTGTCTCAATCAGTTTCAAACCTTTATTCACAGTTTCTGTGTAACTAGCATGGCTGGGCTGTGTCTGCTGAGGGTTTTCTAGTACGCAGGTCGCTCTATTTTACGACAGTACCAAAGTACCTCCTTCCTTCCACCCTTCCTCAGTGTCACCAGGAGCTCCTGCTTTGGATAAGGTCCCTGTTAGTCCATTCTGAGTGCCTTGATCTCTCCCTGGGCCGGTCCAGTCACCCCAAACGGCCAAGTGGCTCGCCCAGGGAGTCATCCGGGAACATCTCTTTTGTACCTGATACCATCTGTAATGCCCTCCAGCTGGGACACAGTCACTTGAGACTATTCGCCTGAAGGTCATTGAGAAGATTTAAGTAGATATTTGATTTGAGGAACCTGGGATAGGAGTCCTTTTCCATAAGCGTGTATATAATTTTTTGGGCTTCATCAAAACACGCGGGGGTTGGAGCTTTGATCTTCTTGGCTGTGGATTCTCGAGTGCGAAAGTCAATGTTGATCTAAAGAGGAAATTCTCATTTGTTAATATGCACTTGCGATTTATTGCATATTTTATGACATTGCTGTGTTGTTTTTTTTTTGGGGGGGGGACACCTTAATATACTGGCTTTAAGCCCTCATTTAAATCAGTTCAAATGTCTCTTGAATGCCTCTAATAAACCAGACCTACCCTAGGTGTGGAGCAGTTAAAAAGAAATATCACAAGAAAGTCTTTGCTCCAAGTTAGCTCATCGTGTAGTTGGACAGTGTAAAAAAGGCAGACATGAAAAATTTAAATTAAAAAAATTTTTTTTTTCATTAATTGATTTTTAGAGAGAGAAACATCAATGAGAGAACACATTGATTGGCTGCCTCCTGCATGCCCCCTACTGGGGATCGGGCCCACAACCCGGGCATGTGCCCTGACTGGGAATCGAACCAGTGACCTCTTGATGCAAAGGTTGACGCTCAACCATTGAGCCACGCCAGCCAGGCTGTGAGGTGAAAAATTATAATATTCATGCGAGGTGACATACACATAAAAAAAGTGATGTGCACATTTACGATTTATAGGAGGAGGGGGCCCATTGTGCAGCTATATTTTTTGCTGGCACCGAACATATTTAACCAGAAGGTAGGCACCACTACTCACTGGAAATATTTTTGCTGCTGCTTTATATGTATATATTATAACCTGCATTTTATCCTCATCCAAGATGAGCTAGCTCATTAAGAACTTCCTGGCTCGAAACTCGGGGTAGAAACCCAGCCCCATCATCTCAGCTAGTTTTGCAACATGAATCTTTCATCCAACCTTTTCACAAATATAGAAAATTAGGTGATCACTGCACTGAATTATATGGACACACCTAAACGTACAACTGAACTCTTGACGCTCAGGGAGTTCGTCCTTCTGTGTATGCTGAACGATATTTCTGCATCTCAGTTCCTCTCCACATACCCTGATGGCCATGAACTTAATACTCACTTGTTTAGCAGCGTCCGAATGCACAAAAGCTTTGTATATTTTCTCTGCTTTGCCATGCAGGAGCTCAGACTCCGTTTTTTTATAGTCTTCACAAGCCAGCCAGAACTCAATGTTCTCCTCACTGAACTCAGACTTCAGGAAACTTCCAAAAACATCTTGACCAGCTAAGAAGAAAGAGCGAGGGGTGAGAGACCTATATCAATTGAGCCAATGAATGACTAACTGGAAGAAGAAATTGGCAAGGACATGCTACTGAGTTCCCTGTGTACACAGGTGAGAAGTGGCTGAGGTTGAAGTCGCTGGGTCATAGTTTGTAGGGATGGGAAGTTCTTAGAGATTCCTTCACTAAGAGTTTCTCTGGGACCAGACATACTTGTCCGTGGTCACATAGCTACTGAGTGGTAGCCACGAAACTGTACTTTGCTTCCATCTGATAATTAAATGGAAATTCTATCCTACCGATGACAAAGCAATCTCTTTTCTTGCAAAGGGTATCTCAGGGAAGCAAACATTGACAAAGGATAGTGATATCATGTTAATTACGAACAAATATAATGTTCCCATCCAATTCATATTTGCCCACAAAGGTGAGGCCTGTACATTACCTACGTGTGATGTATCGATTGTATCTGCAGGTGTCACTGAGACTTTCAAACGGGCCATTTCCCTATCGTTTATTTGTTTGGCTGATAAGAGGGGTGGACCTGGTTGAGATGCTTCAGTGGCAAGTCTCCTTAAAGTGTCGGTGGGCAGAGGAGGGTGAGCTCACTCCGGACAGGGAGGGTTCTCATCTGCGCCTCTGTACCGGCTCTGACCCCAGCAGGATGCAATGGCCATGAGGAGACTAAGGTGAACTGATTTCATTCTCTACCTTCTCTCCTCAGAAATGCACCCCCAATGCTCTGCTTGAAAATCTCCTTTATCATATCTGTGTTGTAACATGTTCCGTGTTCTAGACAATGCCATTGCATACTGTGTGTCCCCGCTGCCTTTGTTGGCACTTCTGAAATACTTGCACAGGCAAGAGGGGGGAGGAGTGAGTGAGTGGATGTATGAAGGATGAAATAATGAATTGGCTAAATGAGCCCTGCTCCCCAAAATACATTCTCGAGGTAGCTTTCAAAGCAGCCATCCACAGGCTGGCTGGTTTGGTTTCCTTTGAAAAACTCTAGACCTCAGAACCCCAGCATTCTTTTTAATGTCGCTCCTATCATGACCCCCCCATGGAAAATCTGATTGTCTCAGCGAATTCGTCAGTGGCACAGTTGAGAGGGGTCATGCATGGCGATGAGCCATAGGTGGGGACCCGTGGTGACTACAGAGACCCTGGAATCAGCCTGATACACACTCTCCTGTCCAGAGTCCTGTGTCCTAACGAAGCCATTTACCCTGTTAGCGTATTGGGCTAAACCCAGACCCACTCAGTAGTTAAACGGTACTTACTTTGGTTGGCAAGAAGTTTCTCCAGAGACTGAGACCACTGCATTACTTCGTCCGCAGAAAGTCTGCCAGGAAAAAGATTTACCTACGTTAGTATAATGTATTTTTTGTAAGCACACGTGAAATCAGAATGGCTGCTACATTTGGGCAACTTTACAGACTAAGATTCCAGTCCTAATGCATTTGATGACAATCTATAAGAACACAAAACTTCCCTTAGACTCCCTGTTGAAATGAACTTTCATATAGAATTGCTCTACGAAAATATCTGCCGATAAAATGTGAAACACATCCAAGTACATCTCCTCCAATAGTGTGATAAGGAGCAAATATGTACATGCTCACGTTTGCATTTGATTTACATTGGTGCAAATGTGCTAATCTCCTTAAGCTCGTTGCATAAAATACGTGAAGTCCATTCTGCACAGTATTAATCTCTTGCTAGAACACAGAGCGAATGCACTGGGCATGTTTATAATGATTGTTCAGTGTATTAAGGTACATACATGTCCTTGGACTTGGAAGGCTTCATCCCAGACTCCAGGTGTGGGATCATGGATCTCAAGTAGGCTTTCATGTCCATTCCGCTGCAAAAGACACACAAGTAAATACTCCTATCTCCTCAGTAGGATACGTTTCATCAGTCACAAGGGAAGAGCCTAAAATAAGCGCCTCCAAGGAATAAAACAATAGTAGCAATAGCTGATACACCGAGTTGTTAGATTAAGACTGAGCCTGTTTAAGTCCGGAAAAATTCTCACCCAATTTAATGCCCAACCACGATTCACTTTTTTTGTTCATTTGTTTGTTTTTATTTTTAAAGTGTTTAGCATTGGTATATGTGTATATTTGTGAAATTATCCACCCAATCAAGACAATGAACGCATCAATCGCCCCCAAAAATTTCATCAGAATTACCCCCACTGTAATCCCTCCCAGTCACCCCTCCCAATCTATCCCTGGGCAACCCCTGCTCCAGTCACAACAGACAGGTTTGCATTTCCAAGCTTTCGTATACGGTGAATCACAAAGCATAAGGCTCCTTCTCGCTGTGCAGGGTACCCAGAGTTCATTTCCTTTCAATGCTACTATTTTAATGCCGGTTTCTCCTGCTTGGTTCCCCATCCACCCGTTGAAAGACACTGGGTTTGTTCCTAGTTTTTGTCCATTGCACACAAAACTGGAATGAATACTCATCCACGAGTCGTTTGGTGGACACAGGTTATTATTTCTCTTTTGACTATAACCGGATCTACTCAGAACCCCCGACGGGCCATTTCTCTGAGCTGGCTAAACGAAGCGCTCGGGTTTGCTCCCAATTATTCCCCCTCCTTCTGCCCTTCACGGTCATCCGAGTCCCAACTCCCCCAGGGAGACAGGGACGGGACTTACAAAGTCTTTGGCCTCCTCTTGGGCATCTTGTCATCCAGAAGCGAGGAGTCCATGCCTTTTAGGTCCTTCGGGGCAGCAGCAAAGAACACCCCTGGCATTCTGTCCAACCTTGGCATGAAGAGAGCTACACCTCGCATGGTCCTGGCGGGACAGATGTGGGCCGGCGCCGCCCGCGGCTTTATATAGACACGGCAGGCAGGCGCGAGCTGCCCGGCGGGGCTGTTTATCAAGTGAGGTTACCACAGACGCTGCGAAGTTCCTCCTTTCTCGCCCGGCTGTGACGTGGGTCTTGCCAGAAAAAAAAAGCACACAGTGATGTCTTGTGGTTGAAACTTAACCAAGCGAGAACAGGTCACTTGATTGGAGAGAAAGACCACTGAACAAGCAGAGGCCACGTATCTGCAGGCTGAGTAGTCAGTGTGGTTCCAGGGGCCGCGTCTGTGTGTTTAAAACTGCGTCGCTCAGTGAAGTGTCTCCTTGCGGGTATTTATTGTGTGACTTAGGAAAAAAAGAGGAGAGATGTGGTCCTCCGGTGCTTCGACTAGAAGATTCTTCTGGTCACGGCATTTTAAAGAGAGTTCTTTTTTCTTTCTTGCAGGAAGCAGTCTAAAGTAAATACATCTTTTTTTTTTTTTTTTGGTTTGATTATTTGTGCACGTATCCAGTAGGGCGTAGAATTATGAGAGGTTCTCTCAATTTCCCCCCCTCCCCCTCCCATCCTGCATTCTCATGGTGAGAAATTTCCACGTGAGTGCTAGTCTTTCTCCTGGTGAGACACTGCATGATTTTAGGGGTGCATGGACTTTCACAGTTATTAGGAGTATGAGTAACGTATACTAATTTGTTTTGTATATTACTGCATAGGATAAGGATAAAGGAAAAGAACACTATGAACAGGTAAAACTATAGTTAATGCAAAAAGAAGACATAATATGTAAAGATATTGATGGCAAAGACTTGCATAGCATCAGAGGAAAAACTGCTCATGGAAAAACACTGTATTTGGAGAGGCTGTATTTGTATACATATTCCAAAATTTGGCAGTATCTCTGCAAATTAAAGTCTAGTTTAAATTAAGATTAAGGTTTTTTTTTAAAAAAATGATTTATTGATTTTTTTAGAGAGAGAAGAAGGGAGAGAGAGATAGAAACATTACTATGAGAGAGAAATATCAATCGGCTGCCTCCTGCACGCCCCCTACTGGGGATCGAGCCTGTAACCTGTGCATGTGCCCTGACCGGGAATCGAACCTCTCAGTCCATGGGTCTGACACCCAATCCACTGAGCCACACTGGTGGGGCTAAGATTGAGGATTTTTTTTTTTATAAAGTCCCAAGAAATTAGGTGACTGAGCATGGATCAGGGGAGAGGGCACTGTACACTCTTACAGAGTTCATATATAGACAGTGTTTATTTGTGGAGTGCCAAGTTGAACGTAAACCTCTTTTGGGTTTTTGCTCTTGAAAAGACAAAACCAATTACACTGAGGCTTCTGCAGGGCTTAGGCAAAGCTGAGCATTTCTTTTCCTAGCTTGGTTCTGTCATCAGGATAAAAAAAGATACCGTATGCAGCAGGCGACATTTGATGCTTAAAAGAGAACATCAGTGATGCGTTAGGGAAGACAACTGTGAGAGGAACTGGCCACGTCATGACCCACACAGAAACGATGGGGCTCAAAGATGAATGACATAAAGGCATTTGTTTGTGTATTTCTTGTGGTTCAGTCTGTACCCAACTGCTCTGTTAAAATCTTCAGCATTGCTCATCCCTCTAGATAATCGTGGGCAAGTTATGTTAGAGAAAACAAGATCTAACTTCTATTTTGAAAGGTCCACAGTTGTTATCATCTATGAGGACAGGTGATTTCCAGAGGGTGTTTCTGCAACACCAGTTCCCTTGGTTGTTAACAGGCATGATGAGGACTACAGTAGCCACAGCAAAGGTCATGTAGCTGTGTAAGTTTGTGGAATATAGGGTCAAAGGTAAATACGGGTCTTCAATTGATCAGTGCAGATCTTCTCAGAGCCTTTAAATGTGAATGCACATTTGTCGACGACCAAAAGGAGGGTAGAATCCGCAGCAGTTTTCTAACATGTTTGAGACCCAAATCCTCATTAGGTGGGGAGAATATCTCCCAGGGAATAGTGTTCCCTTGACACCACATTGGGAAACTCTGGTCTGACCTAGAGATAAATATTCACCACTTAATTCTTCTAAACCTCCAACATTTTGCTGCCTTAGTATAAACTTTTGAACTCAAGTATTTGCAAGCAATTACAGTCGCATAGGTCCAAGTCCAAGTGTAGAATTGGACTCCGCCTAGAGCAGGTCCATCTGAAATTCCGGTCACAGTTGGCTGTTGATGCCACTCAATGGATCAATAATAAAGCTGTTCTCTCAAAGTCTGCTTGCTGGTACATGCAAAGCTGGGTGTGCCGGAGCTAGGCAAATTTGGAGAAGCTGCATTTGCAGGGCTTGGTAAGTCCATGGCAGGGCATTAAAAGTCTCCTTTCATTTGCATACAAAATGTCCCTGTCTGGCTCCTCTTTGTGGGATTCATTGAGACAAATGATCAAATAGTCCCTTTACTGAGTCAACGACTGTGGTTGAAATGGCAGAGGATTTGGTAAAAGCCAAATGCAAGAAACAGCAGCTCTCGCAAATATGATCTGGTTTGTGTATTTCCTCTGTGACATTGTGCTGAAGTATGTAGGCTGGCGTCCTAAGGAAAGGAGTATTTCATGTGATCTTCGTGATAGCATTTTATTTAAAAAAAAAAATGAATGCACTTTATTTTTAGAGCAGTTTTTGGCTTACAGCACAGTTGGGTGGAAAGTACAGAGAATTCTCACAACTCCCTCTACCCCTTCCTTCCCCACCACCAACATCCCACATCAGGTGGTACATTTGAGACAGCTGGTCATGAACCTGTACTGGCATTTCATTGTCACCCCGAGGCCTTAGTTGACATCAGGCCTCACTCTAGGTGTTGTACAGTCTATGGATTTTGACAAATGTGTGATAACATGTCTCTGCCATCACAGTATTAGAATAGTTTCCCTGCCCTAAAATCCCCAGCGTTATAGTTTAAAATGCCTAGGCCACTTCGGATTATGGCTATCAATTTGATAGAGAAGATTTTAATCTTTGTTGAGCTGACTTTGCATTTTGGTTCTAATCACTCCAGCTACCTGACTCCTAGTAGGGAGAGCTTTGCTGGATGACATTTTCATGCTTAATATTGATAAACATGATGCTGAGCTTTCATCATGCCATTGACGTTTTATTGTAGACATTAGGAATTTTGGGGAAAAGGACAATAATGAGCACAAAATTGCGTCTTTAGAAAAATTTTTGGCTTGCATTTTTAAAAATTTAATTTATTAGGAAAACATTGGTTACTAACATTAAATTTCAGCTGTACAACTTTATAACATGATGCCTGAACACTCTATGCTCACCCCCTGAAGTCTAGTCTCCTTACATCACCATGTATTAACCCCCTTTACACTCTTTGCCATCTCCTCACCCCTGTCCCCTCTGTTTATCACCATTCCTTTGTCTATTATCTGTGAGTTTGTTTTTGGTTTGTGTATTTTATTTGTTCAAATTGTTACTTCCTGTTTGAAAGCCCACGTATGAGTGAAATCACAGGGTCCTTGTCCTTCTCTGTATGACTTATTTCACTTGGCATGATACTCTCAAGATCCAGTCAAGTGTTGCAATTGACAATATTTTACCTTTTTATGGCCGAGTAGTATTCCATTGTATATATGTACCACATCTTCATTATCTACTCATCTGTGAAAGCATACTTAGGTTGTCTCTATGTCTTGGCCACTGCCCATAATGCTGCATTGAACACAGGGGTGCATATATCTTTATAAATAAGTGTTTTCAAATCCTTTGGGTACTTACCTGGAAGAGGAATGGCTCTATTTTTGATTTTTTGATGAACCTTCTTACTGTTTTCCATAGAAGCTGCACCAATTTGCATTCTCACAAGTAGTGTGTAAGGGTTCCCTTTTTCCCACATCCTCTCCAAAATGAACTATTTTTTCTTTCTTTCTTTTTTATCTTCACCCAAGGACATTTTTCCATTTTTTTGTTCAGATAGAGTGGGAGGGAGAAAGAGGAAGAGAGAGAGAGAGCGCGCGGAACATCGACGTGAAAGGGACACATCGAGTGGCTGCGACCCGCACGACCAACCAGGGCCAGGGACAAACTGCAACCGACAAACTGCCCTTAGTGGGAACCGAACCCGGGTCTCTCCGGTCCACGGGCCAACACTCTAACTGCTGAGCCAAACCGGCCAGGGCTGGACTATTTCTTTTCTTTTTTTTTTTATCCTCACCCGAGGACATTTTTCGATATTTTGTTCAGATAGAGTGGGAGGGAGGGAGAGAGAGAGAGAGAGAAAAACATCGACATGAAAGGGACACATCGAGTGGTTGCCACCTGCACGACCCAACCAGGGCCGGGGACAAACTGCAACTGAGGTACGTGCCCTTAGTGGGAACAGAACCCAGGTCTCTGCAGACCGCAGGCCAACGCTCTAACCGCTGAGCCAAACCAGCCAGGGCTGGACTATTTCTTATCTTATTGACAATAGCCATTCTAACAGGTGTGAGGTGATTATCTCGTTGTGGTTTTGCTTTGTATTTCCCTTATAGCTCGTGAAGTTGAGCATGTTTTCATATAGCTTTTGGCCATCTGTATGTCTTTTTTTTGGAAAAGAGTCTCTTCAGGTCCTCTGACCATGAGATTATATCTTATTATTATTATTATTTTAATCCTCACCCAAGGGCATGCTTATTCATTTTAGAGAGAGGAGAAGGGAGAGAGAAGGAAAGGGAAAGAGAGAAACATCGATTAGTGCACCCCATATGCACTCTGACTGGGGACCAAATCCATAACCTAAGTATATGCCCTGACCGGGGCTCGAACCCAGATATAAGTGCTGATAATAGGAAGATGAATAGATTTCTGTCCTAAGGGGTTCACAGAGTAGTGGGGCAGACAGATAGTTCAACAAGTAATCCAAGTGAAAAGTGTCACTAAAAAGGAGTGTGTAAGGAGTAACTAACTCTGGAAGTGTGAGACACAGGGCTGTTGCATTCTCTTAGAAAATCAACATTAATCTGTTTCTGCATTTGAGATCGATACCTCTCGGAAAGTACAAAACACCGCAATCAGAGAGACTGGTCTTGT